CAGCCCCTCCCCCCCCCTGGCCCCCCCCCCCCCAATCAGGGGCAGGGCCAGCCAGTCAACTGCCTGCCGCCCTTCCCCCGCAGGCCCCTGAGCCCCTGATGGGCCCCCACCACCCCAATCAGCCCATGGCCCCTCCCCTCAGCCAGCTCTGCCCCTGATCTCACACACACACACACATACACACCAATACCAATCAGGTGGGGCTGGCTGGTCAACCTCCCCTAGCCGCTGACCCCTCATCGGTCCCCGTCCCCCCCGCCTCCCCCCCACCTTCATTTGGGGGCTGGGCCTGCTGGCCAATCGCCCACCGTCTCCTCCTCCAATTGGGGCTGGGCCAGCCGGACCCCATCCATTCACGAATTTGTGCACTGGGCCTCTAGTCAATATATATTAAACTACATGTTGGTTGGTATACAGACTATTCCTTTTTCTCCCCCAGCTATATGGAGGTTTAGTTTACAAAATTATATATATTTAAGGTGTGTAACTTGATGTTTTGATATATATAATCATTGTGAAATGATCACCATAATCAAACTAATTAATATATCCATCACCTCACATAATTTTCTTTTGTGTGGTGAAAGCACTTAAGGTTTAACTTCTTACCAAATTTGAAGTATATAATACAGTATCATTAACCTATGACCCATGTTATGCATTAGATTTCCAGAACTTACCCATCTTGAAATTTTATACCTTCTGACCAACATCTTCCCATTTCCCCCTCTGTAGCTGTTCATCTCAGGACTACTTATATAACATTTTGAGTTATGTGTTGTTTCTAAAAATATACATTGTCATTTTATTCATCTTACAGAAATCAGGAGAAGACATACAGCTGGTTTAAAACAAAAAATAAAAGCAATTTTTTTGCTTTAAATCAGGGGTCCTCGAACTTTTTTTGTTTGTTTGTTTTAAAAATATTTTATTGATTTTCTACAGAGAAGAAGGGAGAGGGATAGTGAGTTAGAAACATCGATGAGAGAGAAACATCGATCAGCCGCCTCCTGCACATCTCCTACTGGGGATGTGCCCGCAACCAAGGTACATGCCCCTGACCGGAACCGAACCCGGGACCCTTCAGTCCGCAGGCCGATGCTCTATCCACTGAGCCAAACCGGTCAGGGCCTCAAACTTTTTAAACAGGGGGCCAGTTCACTGTCCCTCAGACCGTTGGAGGGCCGGACTATAGTTTAAAAAAACAAAAAAAAAACTGAACAAATTCCTATGCATACTGCACATATCTTATTTTGAAGTAAAAAAACAAAACGGGAACAAATACAGTATTTGTATTTGCATGTGGCCCGCGGGCCGTAGTTTGAGGACCCCTGCTTTAAATTGTCATTGACATTGAAGTGTTGAGAATTATTTTAGCCCATCTAAAGTGTCAGCTATGCACCAAAAGGCTGCCAGTTCAATTTCTGGTCAGAGAACAAACCTGGGTTGCAGGTTCAATCTGGTCGGGGCAAGTATAGAGGACAATGAATCAATGTTTCTCTCTCACATTGATGTTTCTCTCTTTCTCCCTTCCTCTGTCTAAAGCATGTCCTCAGATGAGGGTTAAACAAAAAGTTTATATTCAATTTTACTTTGCCATCTAATTGTTATAATTTGTTACACAGTTTTCATAAAATGTGGTTCAACACTAAATTTACACAATTATATATATTTCCAGACGTATTCATCTTGCGTAACTGAAGTTTTGTATCTTCTGACCAACATTATGCCAAACACATTTACATTTTTATTTTTTATTTTTATTTTTTAATATATTTTATTGATTTTTTTACAGAGAGGAAGGGAGAGGGATAGAGAGTTAGAAACATCGATGAGAGAGAAACATCGATCAGCTGCCTCCTACACACCTCCCACTGGGGATGTACCCGCAACCAAGGTACATGCCCTTGACTGGAATCGAACCTGGGACCCTTCAGTCCGCAGGCCGACGCTCTATCCACTGAGCCAAACCGGTTAGGGCCACATTTACATTTTTAAAAGTGATTTATAGGTCTAGCTGGTTTGGCTCAGTGGATAGAGCGTCGGCCTGTGGACTGAAGGGTCCTGGGTTTGATTCCGGTCAAGGGCACATGCCTGGGTTATGGGCTGGATCCCCAGCAGGAGGCAGCCAATCAATGATTCTCTCTCATCATTGATGTTTCTCTCTCTCTCTCCCTCTCCCTTCTCTGAAATCAGTAAAAATATATTTTTAAAAAATGGATTTATAGTACTTTTCCCATAACTGGATGGCTATTTTTGTTGTTGTTTAATATGTTTTTATTGATTTTTCTTAGAAAGAGAGGAAGGGAGAGGGATAGAAAGATAGAAACATCAATGAGAGAGAAACATCCATTGGCAGCCTCCTGCACACCCCCAATGGGGTAACAAGCCTGCATGTGCCCTGACCGGGGAATTGAACTGGAGGACCTCTTGGTTCATGGGTTAGTGCTCAACCACTAAGCCACTCTGGTTGGGCAAGTTGTTAAATTAATCCCAGTAATTTAGATGAGTACAATCATTTAATAAAAAATAGATTTTCTATAAAGGCAAGTACTATTATGTAGTACTGGAGAAAATATACAAATTCTAAAACTTTTGAGGCAAAAATACTCAGTCCTATCTGGTTCTTCAGTAGGTTATCTAAAAGGACCTATATCAATCTACTATGTATCCCATGCTATAAAGGAAACATTGTTGTAATTTTGTGTTAAAATACTATGAAAATATATTTTTATAAAATAATTCATTATACAACTCTGGCCAGATGGCTCAGTTGGCTGGAGTCCATACACCAAAAGGTTGAGGGTTTGATTCCCAGGTAGGGGTGCATATGGGAGGCAGCCAATTGATGTTCCTCTTCCTCCCCTTTCTCTCTAAAACTATAAAAACATCCTCAGGCAAAGGTTAAAAACAAAGAATTATTTAAAAAAGAATTCATTTTTCATTTTTAAGCACTTAAATAATTAGAAAGAATGAAAGTAACATTTTAATGTTGCTAAAGATAATGTCTGAGCTTGTCTTAAATAAGACAATATAACCTTTCACAGGGGTCGCCTAAGACCATCCTGCATATCAGATATTTACATTACGATTCATAACAGTAGCAACATTACAGTTATGAAGTAGCAACAAAAATAATTTTATGGTTGGGTCACAACATGAGGAACTGTATTTAAAGGGCCAGAAGGTTGAGAACCACTGTACTAAAGCGAGTTCTGCCTTAATACAGGAACAACCAGGAAGCTATATGAGAAAAAGCTGTTGAAATTGAGGGAACAAGGAACAGACTCAAGATCTTCTACTCCTTTCCCAACAATTTCTTCTTCAGCAGAAAATACAAGACAGAATGGAAGTAATGATTCTGACAGATACAGTGACAACGAAGAAGGTAAAGTTTTAAATGATGTTAATCAAATATATGTGATTTTTTTTCAGACTCATAAGATACAGTAACCATGCAGATGATAAAATTTAAGATATTACCAAGACATGTCATTTTTTTTCATACTGTATCATTAATTTTCCAAGTAATTTGATTTAAATAGCTTTTGTTGAAAACTCTAAGAAACAGAAAAATACAAGTGTCTAATTTTCTGTCACCTAAAATTACCTAAGTACCTGTGTCTTTTTTGCTTCAAATCTCATTTTTCTCAGAGAATAAAATATTACAAATAAAGACAAAGTTCCCCCACTTAGCCCTTTCCAAGTATCATCTACATAGAAATAATCACTGACATTAGTTTTATGCTTATCTTTCCAGCCCATTTTAAAATGTTTTTTTATATGCATCTAATACATGCTATTACTTTGTACTTTAAAAGATCTATATAAATGATATCATGCTAAATCTTGTCACTTTTCTTTATTCTGTTATACTACCAAGATCTCACTTATCACGTCTGTTTTATTCCTTATAATTAATACATAGCAGTAGTGTTTACATATGGCATGTTTTTTCTGTTCTCTATAGGCATTTTAAATTGACAGTTTTTGCTAGATAATCTGATTTCAAGGCAACTTCAGAGCAGATATTTTAGTGGACTATTTTAAGAAAATTTGACCATATATTTAAATATTTTTGAAAATAGTACAAGAAATAAATGACCTTTTAAAATTTATTATAAGAACAAGTTTATATTTATAAATGTTCAATTCATTTATATGACTTGTTTTATAATTTCATGATTAATTAATTTGACCCAAATTACTTATATCTCTTAAGCATTGCCTGCAAGGGCATAGTTTGTCAAATTGGTTGTTCCAAGTATGAAATATAGAGCCTTTTCCTTCAACAGCACTATGTTAGCAAAGAGGCAAAGAATAAAATCAGCTTAAACACAAGTAATGCTTAAACTTCCTGCCTCTTTTGCCTCTACAGGAAAGAAGAAAGAACACAAGAAAGTGAAGTCCACTAGGGATTTTGTTCCTTTTTCTGAACTTCCAACTACTCCCTCTGGTGGATTTTTTCAGGGTATTTCTTTTCCTGAAATCTCCCCCCGTCCTCCTTTGGGCAGGACTGAACTACAGGCAGCTAAGAAAGTGCATTCTTCTAAGGGAGACCCACCTAGGGAACCTCTTATTGCCACAACCTTGCCTGGCAGGGAACAGTTGCACAAGTTAGCCTCTGGAGGGAATTTGTTTATTTCCTCCAGTTCTAGCCATGATAGATGTTTAGAGAAAAGTTCTTCGACATCTTCTCAGCATGAACTCGCTGCCATGTTGGTCTCTGCTGCAGCTTCTCCTTCACTGATTAAAGAAACCACCACTACTTGCTATAAAGACATAGGAAATATTTACTGTGGAGAGAAAAGTGGAATTCAACCATTTTGTACTGAGAGGTCCCATGGTTCAAGTCAGTCGATTCTGTCCAGTAAAAGGAAAACACTAGAAGAGTCTGAGAGATCACAAGTAATTTCTCCACCACTTGCTCAGGCAATCAGAGATTATGTCGATTCTCTGTTGGTCCAGAGTGGGGTTGGTAGTTTGCCTGGAACTTCTAACACTACACCCTCACTGGATATAGAAAACATATGGAAGAGAATTGATCAATCTAATTTTCAAGAAATTGAATCTCTGTCTCCTCCACGAAAATTGCCTAGACTGAGTAAAAAGTTAGGAGAGGAAAAGGATTCAGGTTCCTTTGTGGAATTTCAAAATATACGTGGATCTGAATCCATGTCTTCTTTTGCTACAACTGTTGTCTCTCACTCACTTGCTACCTTAGGCATAGAGATGTCTAAGCAATCACAGCATGATAAAGTAGATGCCTCAGAACTATCTTTTCCTTTCCACGAATCTATTCTAAAAGTAATTGAAGAGGAGTGGCAGCAAATTGACAGGCAGCTGCCTTCATTGGCATGCAAGTATCCAATATCTTCCAAAGAGGCAACACAGATATTATCAGTTCCAAAAGTAGATGATGAAATCCTGGAGTTTATTTCTGAAACCACTCCACCAGCAGGTATTCAGGTAGCTTCAACTGATAAACAGTTGGACTCAGCACTTTGTAGAGCATATGAAGCTGCAGCATCAGCATTGCAGGTTGCAACCCATACCGCCTTTGTAGTTCGGGCTATGCAGGCTGACATTAGTCAGGCTGCACAAATTCTTAGCTCAGATCCTAGTGATAGCCACCAGGCACTTGGGATTCTGAGCAAAACATATGATGCAGCCTCATTTCTTTGTGAAGCTGCATTTGATGAAGTAAAGATGGCTGCCCATACCATGGGATCTTCCACTTTAGGTCGCCGTTATCTCTGGTTGAAGGATTGCAAAATTAATCCAGCTTCTAAGAATAAGCTGGCTGTTACTCCCTTTAAAGGTGGAACATTATTTGGAGGAGAAGTATACAAAGTAATAAAAAAGCGTGGAAATAAACACTAATAAAGTTAAAAATAAAGACACCCATTTTATCTTTGATATAGGGAACTTAGCAGATTTTCTAGGAATTTTAAGTACTTTTAAATAAAAATTTTAAGGTCTTTTTAGTTTCTAGATGGGGCTGATTTCAAAGTGTCAAGCTTCAACCCATCAAATTATAGTTTAAAAGTAATTGCCTACATAGAACTGCCTTTTAAAAAAGGTTGCACAGATAGAAATCCTGATAAAATTTAAAGCTTTGTAGGTTACATTTTTATCTCAAATCGTTCACTCCTTTCCATAAGATTTTATAACTCTTCAAAACTAGTTCTATTAACTAGAATATAAGTAGAGTCTTCGCTGGTCTTAATATCTTTGTACTTTCTACAGCTTTTCTACATTTTTTTCTTTCATTTTTCTCCCTTTTGTTTTTATGTCTACAGTATCATTCATAATATTCTAGATTATTGCATCTCAGTGTGCCAGTCTTCAGACTGTTAGTGATCCACAGACAAGCATGCACCAGAACTTGACTGTAGGAACACTTTTCAGATTAATGACAGGGTTTATTTTATTGATAGAGAAAACAGTGTGCAGACCTACACTCTGTTGTAAGTGCCTCATTTCTTCATGGGCTGGTGGCAAACAGTTTGTTGACCACACTGAGAAACACTGCTCTAGACCATGATACTCTAGGATAGTGCATTCTCACTATCACTGTAGTTTATTAGATGAACTCCATACTGGAAAGATGGGAATTTAAAAGTAACACTTTCAAGGTGTGTTGCAGTTCATAGGTTTAATCTAAATTCTAAAAGCAAATTTAAGTTAGTTGGGTGGTGTGTTTTTTTAAGTCATAAGAAATCATACTATACCCCAGTATCTTTGTGTCTATATAAAACAATATATTATCTTGTGTTTTCATTTCTATGATTGTAAGATGAGAGTCTAACTGTAGAGGCATTTGATAATCGAACTTCTTTGTACTTTTATGAAAATAATAGTATTAAGTATAAGCAAAATATGGTCCCTTGGGTACTCATAGGCAGATTCTTAGACTATACATGCCCATCTTTGCAGCTTTCTGGGAATAATTTTATTTGTTATTTGTCTTCTGAAATGTACATGTATACATGTACCTACTAAGTGCTGTGTGACTTTAAAAATGTATTACTGTAGAATGCTTCTGCAAATTCAATAAAGTTGTTAAATTTGAACAGTTTTGTGTGGTCTCCAGCAACATGTTGTATGTGTGTTTTATTCTTGGAGTTAAAATAAGTTAGATATTTGTGAACGAACATCCCTTTATCATTTCATCATTGAAACTCACTTGACATTACAGTGGTATAGTTGAAAATATTCTAAATATAGTTTTATTATATTTGAGGGCCATGTTTTTATTGGCTGTTGGAATTTAAAATTTGTAAGAGAAATTAATCTGTAACCAGATACCTTATTTGTTTAAATCAGTTTCTGCTCAACTACTATTGAGTTCTTTGGATGTTTTCTAATTCTTAGGATCTGAGTTAACAGCTTAAGATTTTATAAAGTTAAGGATTGTTCCAAATACAGATATATAATAGATCTATTAATAGGAGCTTTGGGATGTAGGGGATAGAGTTGATACTTAATCCTAAATAAAGATTGAACTATTTGAGCTAACATGCTGAAAATAAAAACCACTGCTCATTTTTGGGAAATTTGCAAGTAGACATTGGACTGACTAATGCTAGACTAGCTAGCAAGATACATGGCTCCCTTGGCTACTTTTAGTACAACTGGATTAGTTCATGCAAAGCTAAGCTTTTAATAATTGACTCCATTTCTTCTTTGGTGCAAAAGTAATCTAAAATTTTTGGTAACAAGTTTTAGAGGTAACAACTGACATTTTGCTCTGTGATAACAGCCACAAAATGTGGAAGTTAACTAAAATTTATATTAGTCTTTTAATAAATCCAGCTCTTCAAGTGATAGAGGAATGGAATATTAAAGCCTATAAAAAGACATACATATTTATTTGGGTTGTTAACGTTAATAACTATTATGGTGGTATGCTAAGGAATACATATGCACTAGCTTCTTTTCAAAGAAATATTGTATTGGGAAGAGGTGGAGAAGTGGCCTGTGATTGGTTGCACTTTTCTGCCAACAAGATTTCTCCTTACCTCCTCAGTTGTACTCAAGTTTTTTTAAAAAATATATTTTTATTGATTTCAAAGAGGGAGAGAGCGATAGAAACATCAATGATGAGAGAGAATCAATAATCAGCTGCCGCCTGCACGCCCCTTAATGGGGATCGAACACAGGACCCTTCAGTCCCCAGGCCTATGCTCTATCCACTGAGCCAAACCAGCTAGGGCTGTACTTAGGTTTCTTATAATCACATCAAAAAAGAAGGGAGGAGAGACTTAAACTGCACTTATGTATTAACATTGTTGCACTTAATTTTATTGGAAGCTTGGTACCATATAGGTAGGTTTGTTTTGTTTTTCATCTTAAAATTCCCTATAGCTTTTTCCTTTACGTATTTCAATTTTTAATTTAATAAACATTTACACTGTATGGACAAAAGAATGGCAACAACTATATTTTAATGTTCTTTTCCACTTCTAAATTGTTTTTCGTGAAAAGCCTCCATGGGAGCAGTTTGAATTCACTTTGTTTCAGGTTGTTTGTCCCAGAAAAAGGGAAAGAGAATAGAAAGTTGTGATCAGATTAAGGAGTGGGGGAGATAAACAGAAATGGAATAAAATAAGAATGGAAAAGAAAAAGACAAAAATTACAGTTAAACAGTTTTGGTTTGTTGAGGTAATAACAGATGACTTGTTTTACATATTAGTGTGCCTAAAACCAGCATTCCAAACTAATGTTAAGATGGTTTTGTTTATTGTATGTTTCAGAAAGTAATGGTTTCTAAAATGTTATTTCCAGACTCTAAAATAGAGCTCAAGCTTGAGAAGAGAGAACCACTAAAGGGCAGAGCAAAGACTCCAGTAACACTCAAGCAAAGAAGAGTTGAGCACAATCAGGTATCTTTAGTTTTATGATCACTGTATTCAGGTATAAGTAGTTTCCAGGCCTGTGTCCTAGTCTTTGGTTAATAGTTGACACCCAGATTCCATCACACTAAATATTGTTCATTCATTGTTCATTAAATGGCATCAGAAATCTGAATTTTGTGTTGTCAGTAGTGTACCTGTGTTTACTGCAAAAGTGTGTTCAATAAATGTCTCATTTGTGTTTGATTCTGTGCTAAGCATGGTTCAAAGCCAGTCATACTGGTTTTGAAATTTATTTTTTTTTAGTTTTTACCATATCTTTGTAACTTTATTTTCCAATTACAGTTGACATTCAATATTATATTAGTTTCTTGTGTGCAGCATAGTGGTTAGACATTTATGTAATTTACAAAGTGATCCTTTCAGTAAGTATAGCACCCACCTGGCATTATACATAGTTATTACAATATTATCCACTATAATTGCCTATGCTGCACTTTACATCCCTGTGACTGTTTTGTAACTACCAGTTTGTACTTCTTAATCCCCTGACCTCTTTCACCCGGTCCCCCAAGCTCCCTCTCATCTGGCAACCAACCATCAGTTCTCTGCATCTGTGAGTCTGATTCTGTTTTGTCTATTTTGTTTTTAGATTTCACCTGTAAGTGAAATTATATGGTATTTGTCTAAAAAAAATATTTTAAAAGATGGACATGCCTAAGTAATTCTGATGTTATTTCTTTAAAAGGCAGGGAATGGTTTTTTTGTTTTCTTTTTTTAAATATATTTTATTGATTTTTTACAGAGAAGAAGGGAGAGAAATAGAGAGTTAGAAACATCGATGAGAGAGAAACATCGATCAGCTGCCTCCTGCACACCCCCTACTGGGTATGTGCCCGCAACCAAGGTACATACATGCCCTTGACCAGAATCGAACCTGGGACCCTTGAGTCCGCAGACCGATGCTCTAGCCCAGGGATGGGCAAACTTTTTGATTTCTTTTTCTTTCTTTCTTTCTTTCTTTCTTTCTTTCTTTCTTTCTTTCTTTCTTTCTTTCTTTTTCTTTCTTTCTTTCTTTCTTTCTTTCTTTCTTTCTTTCTTTCTTTCTTTCTTTCTTTTTCTTTCTTTCTTTTTCTTTCTTTCTGTTTTTTGTTTTTTTTTTATTGATTTCAGAGAGGAAGGGAGAGGGAGAGAGAGATAGAAACATCAATGATCAGAGAGAGTCACTGATCGGGTGCCTCCTGCACGACCCCCAATGGGATCAAGCCTGCAACTCGGGCATATGCTCTGACCAGGAATCGAACTGGAACCTCCTGGTTCATAGCGACTCAGGACCAACCACTGAGCCACGCTGGCCAGGCTGTGTCTAGATTTCTGGCTTTGCTTTTACTTTTGCCTGTCTTCTGTGACTTTTCCTTCAACTCTGAACTTAGTCTAGTTCTAAGACCACACTTTTCTTGTTTAGATGAAAATTTACCTTTTTTATTATTGGTGAGGCAAGATGCACTTAGTGTAGAAACTAGGAAAATCTGGTGAAGGACACTGAAATAGACAAGCATGGATAATTTTGGCCCAGAATATGAAGGCAAAATGATATAGAGCTAGCAAGAATGTGTGACTGGTCAGATAACAGGGAAAAAGGAGGGAGGAAGGATGATATTAAAGATGGTTTAAAGGGTAATTGTTTCCGTTGGGGAAGCTAAACTGAAGGACAGGATAAATAATCAAAGGAGAATAGGTTGAGGAGACGACAGCAGAATTAGACAGTGGCCTTAGATAACAAAATTTTAAAATATAGAAGAGTGGAGAGAAGAGTTTAATGACTCTTCAGTCACAGAGCCTCAACAGTTGTCAACATTTTATCAGTTTTATTTCATCTTCACGTGTACTCTAACTTAATTCTTTGGTTTTGTTTTGCTTTTCACTGGAGTACATGAAAGCAAATCTATGACTTGTCATTTCACACATTAAAATTTTGGTATATGTCTCTAAAACATAGCTGTTTCTATACACACACAATGCCATTTTCACACCTAAAAATTATTTTTCATATCTACTCTGTTTAATTCCTTCAGTTTCAGAAATGTCTCGTGATTAAATTATTCAAATTAGGATCCAAACAAATTCCACATATTATTTGTTGTTGTTTTTTATCTCAAATCTGTAGCTACTTCCCCTGTAACTGTTTCTCCTCCCTCCATTTATTTGGTGAAGAAACCATGTTGGTTTGCTATATAGAATTCCTCATATTCTGGATTTGGCAATTGTTTCTTCAAGTGTCATTTAATTTGTTCTTCTATACCCTGTATTTCCTGTAGTCTGGGAGTTACAGATTTATAGTGGGGCAATGCAATTGACCTTTCTGTGATGACAGAAATATTTTGTATCTGCTGTCCATTATGGTAGCCCTGAGCCATATATAGGTATTGAATACTTGGAATGTGACTAGTGTGGCTGAGAAACTACTTTATAAACTTAAATTTAAATTACCACATGTGGTTAGTAACTACTGTATTGGACAGCATAGATTACAGAGTTGGTTAGATTCAGGTTCAGTTTCTTTGACAAGAACATTTCATAAATGGTGGTGTGGCCTTCATATTCCATCGTTTCACATGATGTCCTTTGGTTATGTTAAAATTAGTTAGTAATGGGTTCAAATGTTGAAAGCCTAATCCATTCATTATAAAGTTCTGTATCACCCTTTCATTTAATGGTTTTGACAGCCATTTATGATTATTGCCCAGATCCATTATTTCATTTGCAGTTGTAAGATGATTTCTCTCATTCTCTCATTCCTTTACCTCTATAATTGGAATTTTTATAAAAAACTTTCTTCCCTGATGAACTGCTTAGTTACCTTAAAATAAAACTCATATAGGAATGCCAGAATAAATGTTTAATTCTTGTCTCTTATTTTCTACTTTTCAAATCAAAGTGCCCTAGTTACTTTGAAAAGGGATCATTAAATATCTTTTAATAGTATGGTATTTTTTCTTTTTTTCTCTTAATATGTTTTTATTGATTTGGGAGAGAAAGAAACATTGATCAGCTGCCTCCTGCACACCCCTTACTGGGATCAAGCCCCACCCAGGAATCGAACTGATTACCCTCTCAAATGCATTGGACAACACTCAGACAACTGAGCCACACTGGCCAGGAAAATAGTATGGTTTTATATATTTTATGATCAATTGCAGTCATTCTTTTTTCATGTTCAAATTATGCCATCTTTAGCTTTTAGGGATTACTAAGTTGGATCCTGTTTCTTTTTATTGACCTTGTTTGTCTTTGATAGTTTCTTGTTTTCTGGCACAGTAAGATGACCCATGCTCATATATATTTCCTGCCTCTTACCATATCAGCCATTTTTCTAAAGAACCCTAATCCTTTTCATAGAAAATATTATTTAGAGACTACCTACAATCTGGATGCAATCACATTAACTACTAATTTTATATAGCAGTGAGTTTCTTTTTAATTAATATTACTTAGTCCATCTTCCTAAGTAGTTATAACACTGAATTATAATTTTATAATTTTTAAAATTCTATTTCTTCTCAAAGTCACTTGTGTATAGTGGATTCTGGTAGAAAAAATTCTTTATAATTTTCAGAATATCTTTTCTGGTTGTATTAGTTTTCTGTGAAGATGATTATTTCTAAATTAGATAATGAAAGTCAAGAATAAAACTGATTAATAGTCCTCAACCAAAGAATTCAATAAACTTGAACAAAGGAAAGTATAAATAATTTATAGAGAAAAGTATCCATCCCACCCCTTTTCCCAGCTATTCCCACAGGTAATAAATATGTTTCTTGTGTTTCCTTCCATAGAAGAAAATAATCGTTAAATGGTACTTGGCCGTTTTTATTAACCATAATAGTTTTAATAGATGTTTCATAAGAATTTTTGATGAAGGCATTATTTTAGTTATTTATTAAAAATAAAACATAACATGGGAAGTCCTGGAATTTGGTAGCTAACTAATTTTAAGGAAAAAGACATTGTCTACCCAAGCCCCCTACCTTCATGAATATAGGCTAAATGTTTGGTCTTTATATTGTATCGGTTGCATAAATGGTAAATATTACACCTTTCAAGCAGTTTTATATTCATTGAAGAGTTTTAAAATACTGAGTTTGATAATACCAGATAGACTATTTTACCTAGACTGTTTTAAAATAGAATATTTTAAAAATACTTCTAATTGTTTATATTGGCATTGATTATTAAAGAGGAAGCAATGAGGTGCATCATAAGTCAGTTATATTATCTTAAACAAGTTCTCAGCTCTGGCTGCACATTAGAATCCCTTTAGGAGCTATAAAAATTTAGTATGTACAGGCCCTTCTAATTCTGACTTGATTGGTCTAAGGTAGGGTTTTTTATATTGATATGTTTTTTTAAAAAGCTCCCAGATGATACTGTGCTTCAAGGATTGAGATTGAAACCATTGTTTCCTTCTATTCAAATAATCAGGAACTTAACTATTAATAAGCATTAATTATATGTATATGTAATTTGTTCACAGATTTGTCTTTTTACTAACATTAAGTTTGCATTCAGCAAAAATTTCCTAATTGAGAGCAGGAAAAAGGACTCAGGTTCAGATTGTGAGTCAAAGGGAAACTACAAAATCAGTCCAATGAGACTGTCAGTATCTTGTGGGGTTTGGTACTAATACTTCCAACGAAATAAGCATACTTATTGGGTGACCACTCTTGTCCCAGGATAAGAGTAAAATATATTCACCTTTATTTTATTTTTTAAAATATATTTTATTGATTTTTTACAGAGAGGAAGGGAGAGGGACAGAGAGTTAGAAACAGAGATGAGAAAGAAACATCGATCAGCTGTCTCCTGCACACCTCCTACTGGGGATGTGCCCGCAACCAAGGTACATGCCCTTGACCGGAATCGAACCTGGGACCCTTCAGACTGCAGGCCGACGCTTTATCCACTGAGCCAAACCGGTTAGGGCAATATATTCACCTTTAAAATTAACGGACATTGACTCAAATATAAAGAAACATCCTTTATCTAGATAAAATATTAGCTTGAAAGCAAAAGTGACCATATATGCGCACTCTAATATGCTAATCATGGATGGCTATTTTCTAGTTAAAAGAATTTTAAAGGATCATCTGGTAATGGTGGCTTCAACGTTGAATAGCTTGATGCTTGGGGTGCAGAATCTCAGGTCCCATACCTGGGCTACTACATCAGAATCTGCATTTTAACAAAAGCTGCAGTTGGTTGAAACACACAGTACAGTTTGAGAAGCACTAGTCTAATGGCTTTCAAGCTATTTTATAAGGACTGGTAACTTAATTTTTTAAATGAGGGAATATTACTCAGCTTTTCAAGGAAGAAATGAATTATGGACTGGAAGGTAAAGCAGTAGTGTGTCACTATTATCTTTCTGTAGTGAGGAGTGGATAGCATTGAGGGAGGTTTGGCTGTGACAGGTTAGGCATGCATATTCATGAAAGAGGTGACACCAAGTTTTTGTTGCTATTTAACGTCTTTAAGAAGAGTTTGACACCTGGGAATTTTTAAGTTCAGATAGCTGTGTATGGATTATAATTTAAACTGATTCTATTTAATAGTTTAATAGTCCTAACCACAGGAAACGAATAATATTTAACAATTATAAAATTTGTATTTTGTTTTAAAAGGATTCTGACTTGTAACAAATGACTTTTTTATAAGTCAAAGAAAATCTCTCATGCTCAGCCTCAGCCTGCTTGTTGATTAGACGGTCAGAGATGCAGCTGCAATGCTAGAGGCAAATAGCACACAGCAGTCACAAAAGGAGTCAGTGATGAATTGATGCACTTTTTCTCCCCTTGTTTCTATTACAATTTGTGAGCTTCTATAGTTGGACTCTTGAATGTATTTTTACCATCCGTTAAGTATTTTCTGATAACTACATATCAGTTCAGTCAATACATATAGAAATATATTGAGGGCATAGCATTGTTTGCAAATGCTGGCATTTGGAGAGTTTTCATGGCTTGTCTGTGCTAATATGGCCATTATTAAGGTGTTTGATGTTAGAATATGACTTTTTAATGTGTCGATGTTGATTAGAGCTATTCTCAAGCTGGAATAACTGAGACTGAATGGACAAGTGGATCTTCCAAAGGCGGACCTCTGCAGGCATTAACTAGGGAATCCACAAGAGGGTCGAGAAGAACTCCGAGGAAAAGGGTGATGCAAGGCTTATTGCTTAGAATTGGGTTTTCAGATTGGTAGGGTTTTAGTGTTTATTTTATATTTATTGTTTTTGTTTTGTTTTCAAACTAACAGGTGGATACTTCAGAACATTTTCGTATAGATGGTGCAGTAATTTCAGAGAGTACTCCCATAGCTGAAACTATAATGGCTTCAAGCAACGAAACCTTAGTAAATATGTTTCATAAACTATACAAGTTGTATTCTTTGTAAACTACCCTTTAATTAGAATTGGGGAGGTGGTGATTTTTGGCAAATATCAAACTTACATGTTTTTGAACATATGTTAAACTTATTCCCCACATAATTCTAAATTTAAAATTTTCAATATGGCCAATTTACATATGTATAAATTTTAATTCATTGCGCAAGAATCCAAAGTATTAAAAGGATACTTTTTTGCTAAAATATTTAAAGCGTGATAAGGCTTCACATGTGAGAACCACTGAATATATTCATTTCTGGGTCCTTTTGCCTAAATTTTTATTAAGGGAAAGTTCTAATAATATAGAAATAAAATATATTTTTCTTTTTTTCACATGTCTTTGTTATGTTTGGATAATTCTGAGTCTGAATAATTTGAATCTTGGCAGGTTGTCAATAGGGTGACTGGAAATTTCAAGCATGCAGCTCCTATTCTGCCAATCACTGAATTCTCAGACATACCCAGAAGAACACCAAAGAAACCATTGACAAGAGCTGAAGTAAATGAATAAAATTTAGATCGATGTTATCATTGATCTTTTAAAGAGGAAATACTTATATTTGTTTTTTAGAAGTGGGAGGGAGCAGAGCTTTATTGAGTTGGGGGTGTGTGTGTGTGTGTGCACGCGCACATATATTTTTAAAGACATACTTCGGCTAGTGACAATAAAAAGTAACCAATGTAATATGACGTGCTAATACTATCCTCTTGCTACTACTGTGTGCCTCTTAACTTACAGTTTTCAAGGGAGGGGTCATTTGTGTGCTGCTTATAACATGTTCTCCTCTTCGTTATGGATGAGAGTTGAAAGTATAACTGGGCAATACGGGAGGCTATACTATCTTTCACTGAAAGGTCAAATAATGGGACTTTAAAATAACTTTGTATGATGCTTCATTTGATTAACTCCTGTATAATTAAGCTTTAAAGTACTAACTGCATGATGCATTATAGTTTTAATGAATTTTTACCAAAGGTTATTTTGATCGGGGCATAAAGGCAAACAAGCAAAACAATCAGGTTGTTGAAAAGTATATATCTTATGTTTTTTTTAAGTTAGGAAGATTAGATTGACTGCTTTAAAACACATACTGAAATTTGTTAAAGGTCCATATTATTTGATATCTTCTATATTTGATCATTTATTACAAAGTATTTTTTTTAAAATACGTTTTTGTTGATTTTTTTTAAGAAAGAGGAAGGGAGAGAGGGAGAGAGAAACATTGATGAGAAAGAAACATTGATTAGCTGCCTCCTGCAGGCCCCCTACTGGGGATTGAGCCTCAAAACCCTGGCATGTGCCCTGACCAGGAATTAAACTGGCATCTTCTAGGTTCATGGGACTACGCTCAACCAATGGAGCCACTCCAGTCGGGCTTATTACGAAGTTTTTAATGGAGGAAAAAACAATGTGCTCTTAATGTTAATGAAAAGCATGGGAAATCCAGTGGGGGAACTTATACTGCCATATTAGCTTCACTGAATTTTTTGTTTCTTTTACTTGTTAATTTTTAATGTGTGGCTATCCCCCTCCCCCCCAATTATCACATTAACATCTTAAATTTGGAAATGTGTGGATACTTAGGTGATAATGAATTTAGAAATAGCAGTTAAAAGCTAGGATAGATTTAAGTGCATTCTCTTCTTTGAAACTTCCATTTAAAATATATTTTCATTGTTGCACATTTACACTAATTTTTAACTTTGGTTGTTTGTTTCTTATTAGGTGGGAGAAAAAACAGAGGAAAGAAGAATAGAAAGGGATATTCTTAAGGAAATGTTTCCCTTTGAAGCATCTACACCAACAGGAATTAGGTATTCAGATACATTGAAACAAGTATTAGTGTATTCTATGGGGGCATTTTTATTTATTCACTTATTTATTCCCACCTTTTTTTAGATATAATGGACACATAAAATTATATATATTTAGGGTATACAACATTATTTAATACACATAAATGGGAATTTTAATTATTCATTCTTCACAAAAAGTTAACTATACTTGTGTTCTCAGAATTAAACTGTTCTTTGGGGAGATTTCTAAGCTATCAGTTCACATTCTGGAAAATTGAGTCAGTTTCAAAATTAACTTTGTTAAACTGAAGGATTATAAAGAAATAATTTACCAATTTTTAAAGAAGGAAATCATTGTTTTCACAGAGAGATTCTGTTTTCTGATTGAAAAGACTATATTTAGATATCTGTTGAATTGTTTCCTGACTGAAGGAATCACAACCAAACTACCTTATTTCTTTCCTCTTATCTCCTAAATATGTTAGCTCTGAAAAGACTTTAAGAAGGCAAGTTTAGTGAATATTTATCAATGTTCTGAATATTATTTTTTAATAAAAGATAATGCATCTTTTAAATGGAAAATGTATATAAGTTTTAAGTAGCTTGACCTGTTTATATGTGACATTTACCTACTGTTAAGGAATGCATTTGGAATAAGGAGTGGTAATGATATTTTATATTACTTATGTAACTCATGACTTTATCTAAAATTTATTTTTTTCTTTGTCCTTTTATTCCCAACAGTGCTAGTTGTCGCAGACCAATCAAAGGGGCTGCAGGGCGGCCATTAGAATTCAGTGATTTCAGGATGGAGGAATCTTTTTCATCGAAATATATTCCTAAGTATATTCCTTTGGCAGATGTCAAGCCAGAAAAGACAAAAAAGGGACACTCTATTCCCATGTGGATAAAAATTTTGCTGTTTGTTGTTGTGGCCATTTTTTTGTTTTTGGTCTATCAAGCTATGGAAACCAACCAAGTAAATCCATTCTCTGGTTTTTATCTTGGCAACTCTAAAAATCTCAACTGAATGATATCTCTTTGGCACACTCAACTTGGTCTCCTATTTTTAATAACTGTATAAAAAAAATTGTGTACACTTCTTGACGCAAGAGCTAAATATAATGTGATTCACCTCAAATGTAGTATTCCATTGAAAAGTAAGCGATATATAAATGGACTTCATTTAAATGTTTTGGACTTTGGACTAGTAGGAGATCACTTCGTGCCATACAAATAATCTTTTTTAGCTCTGGAACTTTTTTGTAGACTTTATTTTTTTAATGTGGGCATCTTATTTCATTTTTGAGAAAAATGTATATTGTTTCTGTGTTTCAAGAAGGGCGAAATGTATAATGTGAAGCTACACATTTAAATACTTGGAATTCTTACAGAAAAGATTTAAGAATTATTCTCTGCTGAATAAAAACTTTAGAGATAGGTGAAACATGAAATTTGGTAAGAGAAAAAGTAACTTGGAGTTGTACTTTTGTAACAGCAACGAAGTTTAATGGTGTTTATGGGGAAAAGTACGGCAATAATCTCTTCAGTAACTTTTATTACTAGTAATGCTATTAGTGTAGCCCTGTTGTACTCACTTTTTAAAAAATTTCTAGTATCATGAATGTCCTACTTCAGTAAGACCCATTTAAATACAGTTGAATTTTAGCAGTAATCTTTTAGTGCTAAAGATTCCTATATGTATATGTTTTAGAACCTGTATTTTTTATTTACAGCTAAAAATATTGTCAATCCAGTTTGCTACCAAATATTTTTTAATAAATAAGTGTGTGTCTATTTAGAAGTTAGAAACTTTACACACTGGTCTTTGTTTCCATTTGAATTCCTTATTGCATTGTCTTCTGTTACTAAAAACAAATTTTGCCAAGTTTTTTTTGCCCTGTTTCCCAACATAATTTGATTTTAAAATGCAGAAAGTATTAGCTTTTAAATTACATAAACTTTTCTTGGCTACACAGTAGTTACATGAATTTGTAAACTCTGAATATGAGGTGGGCATTATGATTTTTGTGTACTCTTGAAGTGGTTAACTTTATCTTGTGGTTGATGTATTTTTTTTTAGCTAAAACTTACCTCATGAATAACTTGGTTAATTAATTGAAATTTCAACAGAATCAAGTAAAACAAAAATTTTAAACTTACTCATTTGAGTTACTACTTTTACAGTCTTTGCCATAAGCACACTAAAAATGTAAGTTATTTTTAAATGCCATCTGAAATAAAAAGATACTTTTGCAAAAGGGAAAATGCTGAAGGTGTATATTTAGACCAGCAAACAATTTTTATTTGAATTAGCCCTTTTCTGATATTTAGCTTTTAGATATTTTGTAGACATTTTTCTCTTGGCAGTTTATCAGAAATGTTTATAGGCCTGAGGGAGTAAAAAACATATAGGTCAGAAATGCTTGCCTCTTTGAGTAAAAGTGTTTCTTTGAGATGAGCCACACAGGGGGCACGTTTTACTCAACTTTCCTGCGTAAGGTAATAGCAGTCTACTTTCACTTTCTTTGTTTTTAAACTTCGTTTCCCATTTTGTTTTCGATCTTTTGTTTATAATTAGAAATTGTGAAAAGCTGCATTTACTGTTTAAAAATGTGGGATGATAAATCAGACTTAATATGTATGTAAGATCAATTTTCTAATAGGAAAGGTGTGGTACAAAATAGCAAAAGTAGGACCAGATAAAAGTCTTCCTCCTCCCCGCGCCCCGCCCCCCCCGCCATGTGTATTTGGTCTTTTGTGTGTGTCTGTTTTACTCCACTAGAATTAATGTGTCCTTGATGTAAACGCAAAGCATTTCTTCCCGATTAAACTGTAGATGTAGACTTTACAATATAATTCAACAATAAAAAAGTTAACCTGTAGTTTTGTCATTGCAATAAATGCTTTTTAGATTGCACAAATTACAAAATGTCCTGATAACATTTCTTATGTGATATTTATGGATTGTTGCATTTTAGTTCTCATTTTCAGTCAGCTCCTTTATGTTTTGTTCTAATCACTGTAGTAATCGGGTCCTTGTTTATTCATAGGTAAATAGTATGTAGCCATTATGTGTACTTGGAGAATGACAGGGAAGCTTACAGAGAGGCACCTCTCTCTCTCTCTCTACAATGTAGAAACTACTTTTCAGTCATCTTCCTCCACCCTTTCCCAGCTTTACTGTCTTAGTACTTTTCTGAGGCATCATGACAGTTAGTCTTTTTTTTTTTTTAATATATTTTTATTGATTTCAGAGAGGAAGAGAGAGATAGAAACATCAATGATGAGAGAGAATCATTGATTGGCTGCCTCCTGCACTCTCCACCCTGGGGATGGAGCCCGCAACCTGGGCATGTGCCCTTGGCTGGAATCGAACCCAGGACCCATCAATCTGTAGGCCGACGCTCTACTCACTGAGCAAAACCAGCTAGGGCAGTGGTTGGCAAACTCATTAGTCAACAGAGCCAAATATCAACAGTACAACGATTGAAATTTCTTTTGAGAGCCAAATTTTTTAAACTTAAACTATATAGGTAGGTACATTGTTATTAACTTAATTAGGCTTAGGAAGAGCCACACTCAAGGGGCCAAAGAGCCGCATGTGGCTCGCGAGCCGCAGTTTGCCGACACTGGGCTAGGGCATGACAGTCTTGCTCTGAGACTAAGCAAAGATGTTGTTATGGTATATTTATCATGGAGCTGTGTTCACAAGGATCGAAGTGCCTTTATCTCTTCTTCATTCATGTGTTCCCCAAAGGTGATTTTATTTAAATTGGCATTTCTCATAGTAATATATATACTATAATTAGAAAGGAAATAGGCTTAAAATTAGAAGTAAACTTTAAAAATTGCTAGAGGTTTGGAACTTAGAAGGACCACCAAAGTCATACAAAGAACAAGGCTTAAATAGAACTGGTGTAGAAAATGAATGAACATGCATGGTCTTTTAGATACCCTTATTTCCCAGCTGTGCCAACTTGGGCAAGTTTCTTAACCTCTCTGAGCATCATTCTCTCCTCATTTGTAATAAGAAAATACCTACTTCAGCCCTAGTTGGTTAGTGGATAGAGCGTCGGCCTGTGGACTGAAGGGTCCCGGGTTCAATTCCAGTCAGGGGCACATGCTTGATTTGCAGACTCGATCCCCATTTGGGGGTGGGCACGAGGCAGCCGATCAATGATTCTCATCATTGATGTTTCTATCTCTCCCTCTCCCTCTCTGAAAACAACAAAAATAACTGGCTAAAGCAAAGCATCTATTTAACCCCAGGGAATGCTCCCTAGGAACCGCAAAGAGAACCAGGAGTAAAGCTGTGGGTGGGGGCGGCATGGGGCCAGCTAGAGCTAGTGGGGGGCATAAGGAGGGGCCGTCCCACACTGCCTGCTCCCCTTCCAGGCCTGTAGCCATGAACAAACAGCATCCAAGCTGCCCCCACTTCCAATGGTTGCAATTCCTGGTCCCCAAGTAAGAAGTGAACAAGAACTCAAGGAGCTAAGATTACCCGGGCCATTACAGCCCTGGGATGGGAGTACCTCTGCCTCACCAGAAGCACCACCAGGCAGGTTAACAGGAGACGGGGTGTAAAGCACCACAGGTCAACTGGCCACCAGAAGCCAAAGGTTTGGTTGGTTAGTGGGGGACCAAGGACAGGAAGCAAATCCTAGTGTGAATCTGGTCTGCAGTGGGGACCCTTTACCTCCACGAGGCAGCTCACAAAGCGGCAATTGCATTTCTGAACCAAAGACTGAGATACAGGTTTTGACAAAAATAAATTATTTGTGAATGTATTTGGGATGGCCTAAAGAGGTTTAAGAAATCATAATGTATTTTTATGTGAATGAATCAGTTCTATCACAAAAATAAAATTTTAAAAAATCAGAAAAAAGCTCTTCACTCGGGAACTCGTTCAACACGTGTGCTGTGGGTTCCTCTGGCACTTGCTGGACCTGGGTCTTGGGGGCGGGGCCTTCATAGGTTACCTTTCAGGGGCTAGGAGACAGGTGAACAAGAACAACACTTTACTTCAGAAAACACTGAGAGCCATGAAGAAAACAGGCTTAGGTTATGTGATTAGGGAGTGACAGGAATTATGTTGGTTTTCTATTGCTATTACTTCAAGCCGAGGGGCCTATACCACAAAGTGTGATCACAGGTGGAGGGGGTCAGAAACCTGAGGCGGGCCCCAGCTGGCTGCTCAGTGGTTAAAGTGTTGGCCCATGCACAGAAGGGGTGTGTGCAGGAGGCAACAAATCGATGTGTCACTCTCTTGTCCATGTTTCTCTCCCCTTCCTTCCCACTCTAAAAATGGAAAAAATATCGAGTGAGGATTAAAGAAAGTAAGGGACAATATTTTGAAGATAATGGAACAGCAATTTTATCTCTGTCAGAGAAGGTAGTCATAAATCTGAAAAAAGGCACCTGGCCGGTGTGGCTCAGTGTTGACCAATGAACCAGGAGGTCATGGTTCGATTCCTTGTCAGGGCACATGCCCAGGTTGTGGTGTTGATCCCCAGTGTGGGATGTACAGGAGGCAGCTGATGAATGATTCTCTTATCATTGATGTTTCTCTCTCCCTCACCCTTCCTCTCTGAAATCAATAAAAATACACTTTTAAAAAAATAAATGAAGAATGAACTAAATAAGTAAGGAGAGAGGAAAGCACTTCCTTACAGTACAATAGTAATGTAGAACTGGTGGAGTTAGAAAATCATCATTTGGCAATTATCACAATAGATTAGGGCAATAATCATTGACAGATATGAAAATTAGTGGGTGAAAGTTTGTTGTAGTCTCAAAGCATCACCCCACATATTACTTATTAATTAGAGATGAGAAACAGTAAGTTACCATGAGGAAACCTGACAAACCCTACCTTGATTAAGTGATCCAAGTCCACCTCACCAGTAATAGGACAAGTCAACATCACATGCCTTCTGATATGATACTCCAAAAAGAACAAAGAATCACTTCTGTGATATTCCTGCCCTAAATGATTAATCTAAATTTAATCATGAGAAAACATCAGACAAATTCAAATTATGTAACATTCTCCAACATATCTGTCTTCAAAAATGTGAAGGCCATGAATGACAAAGAAAGAACTGTTCCAGACTGAAGAAGCTTAAAGAGACATGAATATTAAATGCAATGTGCTTCTGTCTGGATACTGGACTAGAAGAAAAATAATTCTGTTTTTTATTTTATTTTTCTTTTAAAGTAATTCTGTTTTCTGATTTGTTTTTTTGTTATAAATGACATTGGGAAATTTGGATAGGATCTATGAATTGGATAGTAGTAGTATATCAATGTTCATATCCAGATTTTGTTGGTTGTCCTCTGTCTTTTAGGAAATACACACTTAAGTGTGTAGAAGTAACTAGGCACCCTGTAGATTCAGGAAAAATATGTGTATACAAGGGTATATATGTATGTGTGTATGTGTAACCTATTCATAATATAAGTATATTATATATGCGCATGTCTATATGTGTGTCTGAAAACTGATGGGAGACAATGATGAAGCACATGTGGCAGAGTGTTAACAAGCGGGGAATCTGACTGAAGGGTCTATAGACGTTCTTTGCACTATTCTTGCATCTTTTCTATAAATGTAAAATTACTTCAGATTTTTACAAAGTAAATAAGCAATACCAGAAACATAAAAAATAAAATACTGAAAAATTTCCCACAAAGATAAAAGCTAATTTCCATGGGAGTAAAGGGAGATTCCTGGGAAGAGAATGAAGGGAGGCCAAAGACAGAACTTTGGAAATATCCACAGTACCCTAAACTAGGTGTCCAATATAAATTAAATAATTTAAAAACATAACCTAGCTATTATATTACTTTTTAAGATTATTATACTAAGATAGACACTCATTTTTCCTACACATATTCACACAATCATACTACATTAGATGTTTTAACAGTTGAAACATGCCTGATTTTTTTCAGTTACCCTTGAATCCATTGTGTTAAGGCAATATCTCAAATGTTTCAATCTTAAAAAATGTGATGTTACCTTGTTCTTATTTTTTTCAATAATATTAAGAGTGAATGGTATTCCAAAAACTTTTAAGTTGTCTAGATCAACAATTTTCAAATGGTGTGCTGTGGCACACTGGTGTGCTGCAAGAATTTTTAAAACATGCAATACCTGACTATTTAGTCAGGAGCACTGACCTCTTTTCCCTTAGATTGTCAAATAAAATAATGACAACAGCCAACACAACAATAGCCATCTGATGTGAATGAGTTAAAAAATCTATTTTTTGATGTTCCACAGAATTTTAGTAATTAGTTTATGTGTGTCTCGAGATGAAAAAGGTTGAAAATCTATAGTCTGGATTACTATTACATAGAGCAGTTTTAATATACATATATTGACAAATAGGCAAGTAGGAATGATGCTTAGATACTTTCTGAAAGATTGGACCTAATTGGGAAATTGTCTTAGAAAAACAATGACTACGAGTAGCCAATAGGACTAGGTCAGTGGTCTGCAAACTGTGGCTCGCGAGCCACATGCGGCTCTTTGGCCCCTTGAGTATGGCGCTTCCACAAAATACCGACTTCTGTGCATGAGCCACGAAGTTTCAATCGCACTGTACATGCGCGCCTGCACGTGGTGTTTTGTGGAAGAACCACACTCAATGGGCAAAAGAGCCGCATGTGGCTCGCAAGCTTCAGTTTGTCGACCACTGGACTAGGTCATGGCAAAAGAAGGTATAAGAAGTTCTGAATGTTTAAGACTGAAGCTTTTCCACATAACTCAGAGATTAATTCATGTAATGAAAGTTATGAAAACAGGAATACATAAAAACAAGTCAGGTTAGGTACAATTTGTTTGAAAGACAGTAGTAATATTGGAACACATACTATTCATGTGCAAGAACACAGTATAAGGAATCCCAGTGTCCACCAATGTATGAAGAACATATAGCAACTTAGTTCTAAGAGTAATTACATTTCCATTTACACAGACTTCAGGTGTTTATCATGTTTTTAAAAAAATAGAAAATTAGTTCCTAAGCTTCAACCCATACCACTTAACAATGAAATGAATAATAGTAATAATCTTTTTCATTTAATTCAGACATCAAATCTGATCATTCAAACACCCAGGAACAAGTTATGCTGACCCATAAACTGCCCTAGATAAATCAATTAGGTTGTTGACAAAATTCTAATTTTTATTTTCTCCTACTCTATCATTTAAATGAAGGATGATTTAAATATTTTTCAAAGTTGACATTCTTGAAATCAAGAGGAAAAATACTGTTTCTTTTCTACAATGATTCAAGTCATCAGAAATTAGAGAAAATTTAAGTGATTGCTAGTGTTATATAGGTTAATTGTAATTGTGTAACAGCAATGTGTAGTTTCAGAAGAATCAAGTCCGTCAATGTCACTAACATTTGAAGAGATTGCTCTCTAAAGCAGTGGTTCTCAACCTTCCTAATGCCGTGACCCTTAGTACACCTCATGTTGCCTTTAATACAGTTCCTCATGTTGTGGTGACCCCCAACCATAAAATTATTTTTGTTGCTACTTCATAACTGTAATTTTGCTACTGTTATGAATCGTCATGTAAATATCTGATATGCAGGATGTATTTTCATTGTTACAAATTGAACATAATTAAAGCATAGTGATTAATCACAAAAACAATATGTAATTATATATGTGTTTTCCGATGGTCTTAGGCGACCCCTGTGAAAGGGTCGTTCAACCCCCAAAGGGATTGAGACCCACAGGTTGAGAATCGCTGCTCTAAAGGATATGTTTGATTCCCTAAAGATGGTCCTTCGCAATGGGCTGCCTTCCAAGTTTAGAGATATCATTGCAGAACACAAGTATTTTCCTGAGGTTCCATTATGTTTGCAAATTTTAATTTCATTTAGGGCTGACTGCAATTGCCCTAAATTGTGCTCATTTGTGAGAAGGCCCCTTAATACCTACGGCAAAAATATCACACAAGTGGTATGAGTTTGAACTACGACAAAACTGCAGTACATTTCAGTTCATGATGACCCAGGACATAAACAGAAACTTAGGTGTTAGGTATCTTCTGTCCCATGTCTCTAAGGATGGACGGAACTATTTCTACTTCTTTTAATAAAACTTAATCCCTTTATTTTATTTTCATCACTTTTTCATTTCATTTCTCCCTAAAATGTCCTGTATGGGCCCCTCCTTGGCTTACTTCTTTTCTATAACATTTCTAGAGCCAAAGCAGCCTTGCCTAGTCTCTCCCTTGTTGCTTCTTCTATCCTAAGCCCTTCCTTGTTTCACTGTCCTCAGCTTTAATAAATGTACTCTCAAAATAAACAACAATAACAAAAACAACAAAGTTCCTGTATGTTACACTCTTGGTGTACACCACAGCCTAGCACCTTGCTCTTGCACTTGATCAAACCACATCAGCAAGGATCCTTTCTAGTAACTAAGCACTTTGTATCAATGGCAAACCAGGTAATTCAGGATATTGTCTCAGTTTACAGATAGGAAACTCGTGGCAGGCTCATTCCACCGGCTCATGTTTATCTTTGAATTCCCTAGAGCATCAGTTCCTAAACCTGGCTGTCTATAAGAATCACCTCGGGATCTTTAAAAATGGCAGATTCCAGGACTCCTCGTCGGACTTAGTAAGTATAATCTTTTGAGGCCTGAGAACATCTGTGTTTCAAAAAACTCCCCAGTGCTTTTATGAGGAACCAGATTTGGGAGCCTCTAATTTGTGATGAACAGGCCTCATTTAAAAGCTGTCCGGGTGATGGATTGTAGCCATTGAGTGACCAAAGTTGCCACACGTACGTGTACCTTCAATGTGGACTATTTTAGGGTCTGTCACATCTAGGTAGCCTCTCCTCTCTGGGCCAAACCAGATTTTATTATTTTAATTGAAGAAAGAAGGAAATTTCTAGATGTGAAGAAAGACTGGGTAAAATAATCCACCTGCCATTTATCCTAGATAATAAAATCCTAATATGCAAATTGACCAGTCTCTATGACATGCACTGACCACCAGGGGGCAGACGCTCAACACAGGAGCTGCCCCTTGGTAGGGGGAGCGCCACTGAGCCAGAAGCCGGGCTCACCGCTGGTGAGCGCAGCAGCGGTGGGGCACTAAGTCGGCAGGTGGACATCCCCCGAGGGGTCCTGGAGTGCGAGAGGGCGCAGGCCGGGCTGAGGGGCCCTCCTCCACCTCCCAAGTGCATGAATGTTGTGCACCGGACCTCTAGTTTCCTATAAAATACAATGTCCCTGAATATTCATGTGTAACTTTCAGAGTTTAAATCCCCTGCACAAATATGGGTGACTTTGAGAGTCTGAATGTGAGCCTCAGAGCTGGGTCTGCTTATTGGGATGCACTTTGGTAGAGGGGTTGCCCTAATCTTATTCTCTCTCATCGATGTTTCTAACTCTCTATCCCTCTCCCTTCCTTTCTGTAAAAAATCAATAAAATATATTAAAAAAAAAAAAAAGTAAACAAAGCCCTGGCTGGTTTGGCTCAGTGGATAGAGTTTGGGCCTGTGGACTGAAGAGTCCCAGGTTCAATTCCGGTCAAGGGCACAGGCCTGGGTTGCGGGCTTGATCCCCATCAATGATTCTCTCTCATCACTGATGCTTCTATCTCTCTCTCTCTCCCTTCCTCTCTGAAATCAATAAAGATATATTTATTTTAAAAAGGAAACAAGGTTTCTAATAAAAAGAAAAGACAACAACTAAGTGACGTTATTCTTTTTTATTCAGGGCAGGTATGAAAAGGGACTTTAGTCTCCTTTCCATAATTTATTATATCCCTCCATTACATGGCTGTGGTAGGAATTATTTAAGGATTTTCTTGTGATTCCCCATGAAAGGGATAATCCTAAATGCAAACTTGACCTCTAGCTCTAAGTTTACAAATGCTTGTTGGAAAGTTCCACTCGGATGTTCTATCTTTCTAGCATCTCAAATTCTGTTTATCTCCACAATACAGTTCTGGGTGAAGATTGGCCACAGGGGAAATTTGTGTAAGATTTCAAAGGCGGAAGTGAAGCAGCAAGTATTACATTCTAAAGGTTAGTATAGGCCCTAACCGGTTTGGCTCAATGGATAGAGCATCAGTCCGCAGACTGAAGGGTCCCAGATTCCATTCTGGTCAAGGGCATGTATCTTGGTTGTGGGCTTGATCCCCAGTAGGGGGCATGCAGAAGGCAGCTAACTGATTGATGTTTCTCTCTCATCGATTTTCTAACTCTCTATCCCGCTCCCTTCCTCTCTGTAAAATCAATAAAATATATTAAAAGAAATCCTGTTAGGACTTCACTGAAAATAAAGTAAAATAAAAATAAAGGTTAGTATAGGACATGAGGTGCTATGGCAGCTCATGCACATCGTTGCTAATCTGCTGGCTCACCTTGGAGTGGGGCAGTGGCCAGGTGTGGAGCTCTTTCAGCAACTGCTGGACCTTCTTCTTCAGTGTCTCTGAGTCTTGGGACAGATGCCTGTGCAGCACCATGCCTCTTGCATCATCAATGTAGGTGGTAAAGATAGATGGCACAGTCTAGTTTATGCTCAGGGGGTCCAGTTTGTCTTAGTGGGGTTCCATTTTGTCCCTGCTTGTCCCCACTTCATGTCCAGCTTTCCTGCCTTGACTGTAAGCCCTATCAATTACAGCAATTTTAGGTCCAACCCCAGGCACAGAGGCAACTTTGCCAGTTCCCACAATTTCATAAGGTCTAACCCCTAAAATAGATCTCTTATTACATATGACTCATACTGGTTTTGCTCTTCTCTGGTCAAACTCTAAAACAGAAATAATTCCAGGAGAGCCAAATGGTTCTCTGAATTTGATTGGTTTTAAAGGCACTGATGACCAGTTGTCAATGTGACACTGGTTGTCCATGGCATGCATCAGCCAAAACAGTTTCTTAATATCGAACTTGTGGACACCTGTAATCGATAGCTAAAGAATCGAGGTTTTTGGTGACTAAGTAGACGCTTCCATAGAGTATTTAAGTGAAAATAAGACATACAGTGGAGTTGGTTGGTTTCTCCTAATTATGCCTAAATGGGGGAAAGGGAATGATAAGCTTAGGGCTTTAAAGTCTCAGTTCAAGATGAGATAAAGGACCAGAAAGTTTATATGACTGCCTTCCAGTATCTGCAAGGCTGTAATTTCT